TGATTTCAAGATCCAAAAAATCACTTACTGCTATTTTTTTGGGTACATGAGAGCTAGATTTTTTAAGAACTAATGAGTTATTTAGCACCTAAATCCACAATTATTGCAATTCTTACACACAGAAAGGGAAAAGTAAAAATGAAAAAGCTTATAAATTGCACACACTGAAAATAACTGATTTTATGAATTACTAATCAAGAGAACAATAAAAAGGAGGAATATTAGACCAAAATACGTGTTTTATTTATTAACATTGTTAATTGCTGTTTATCCGATTAGTTTTTATCTATCAGATTTGATCTAAAGCATTAGCAAAACTAAATAAACATCCAAAAAAGTCATAAGAGATTCTCAGTTTCAAAGTATTTTTGAGAACTTGGAAAGAGACTACTAATCTTTTAAAGTGATAAAGTGTGCCTTTCAGTTAAGTACAAGTTACCGAGGAAACTTCAATAATCATTTCTCCTGCAGTCTCCTACTCAGTTGAAGGCACTTTTCATAAACCATTTCAAAGCACTTAGAATTTCTGAGTCTAATTACATAGTAATCACTTTTCACTGAGGTGAATGAGACCGCCCAAAGAGGCGGCAATTCCATAAAGAAACTAGTATCACACATAGTTTCGACAGTTTTGCTGGAGGTTAACTTGTTTCAGAAGCCGTGAGACAGACTGCATGCGACAGGTTTCCCCCTTGCAAAGGAAAACGAGAGGTTACTTCACCTTGTCTCTGATGTGACTTGAACACTGAATCAACAGTCTGCTTGGAAGAAGCCACAAAGTTTATTCTGCTTGCGCTATGAATACACTGAAATGTACCAATTACTCAAATAGTATGAGGTGAAAAGGAACCGGCTTGGTAGTATTCAGAGATTCGGTGTGGTGGGTTTTTTCTCAAACACTTGTGTTTTGGGACTACAAATCCAGAGCTGCAGCACGAACTGTCTCCGCGACAGCCTCTCTAAGCAGCACACAGCATCCCCCTCACTGTGACTGCCGCCCGCCTTACCTTTCTGAGCGGCCGACAGCACCGTTTCCTCGTTCCGCGCCCTTTGCACGGACACATCTTTGCTATCATCGCCTGATTTTTCAGCTCTCAGCCCTCCCGCCTGCGTCCCGATACTCTGCCGGGCGGGCCGGAGCAGCAGCAGGGGCTGGTGCCGACACCTCAGGCAGGACCCGGTCCCCGTTCCCGCCCCGGTCCCCGTCCCCAGCAGCGCCCATCCGCGGGGGGCGAGCAGCCACCTCCCCAGGCACGTCCGCCCCAGGGAGGCGGGCAGCATCTCGGGCACGGCTCCCCGCCGGCCTCACGGCTGTACGGTGGGGGCAGCCGAGCCGAAAGGAAAATTCCTGCCGCTCGCCACGCTCTCCCGGGGGACCCTCGGGGAAGAGCCAGGGCAGCTTCCCGCCCCGAGCAGGCAGGTCGGGAGCCCCACTGACCCTTTACCGCCAGCAGCGGCCGCTCGCCATTGCCCCGGCGGAAATGTTTGGGACGGGGAGCGGCAGCGGCGAGCCCTGGGAGCGGTAGTTTGAGCGGGCTCCCTCTCCCGCCCGCCGCCGGGAGCGGCTCCCAGCAAGGTCACTACAGCGCCCGCCATGCCCAGCGCCGCCGCGGCCACAGCACATCCCGCACTCGGGGCGGGGACCCGCCGTCTCGCCTAAAGGGGCGCGGGGGAGCCGCTTGCAGCGCAGTGAGACTGCTGTCCCAGTCACCTTTTTAAAGCTGTTCTTTTTATGAGTGTTTTTCTTGGTCTGGCACATGCTGGTGTGTAAAAGCGCTGCAGTTGACGTTTGTACGAATGGAGGCCGGAAGAGACCGACGTTATGTGGTTCCACAAGACCAAGTGCCGGGTCCTACAAGTGCCCGGGCCACAACAACCCCAGGCAGGGCTAGAGGTTGAGGGCAGGGTGGCTGGAAAGCGGCCCAGCGGAAAATTATTTGGGGTTGCTGATCAACAGGTGACTGAAATGAGCCAACAGTGTGCCATGTGTCCAATAGCATCCTGGCTTGAATCAGAAATAGTGCGGCCAGCAGGACCAGGGAAATGATTTTCCCCCTCTGTAGTTGGCACCGATGAGGCTCACGTCGAGTACTGTGTCCAGTTCTAGGCCCCCTAGTTCAGGAAGGACATTGGGGTGCTGGAGTGTGTGCAGAGAAGGGCAACAGAGCGGGTGAAGGGTGTGGAGTACGTGTTCTATGAGGAGTGGCTGAGGGAGCTGGGTAGTTCAGCCTGTAGAAGGGAAGGCTCGGGGGGGAGGGGGGGGGGGGAATCTTTATTGCTCTCCACAACTACCTGACAGGAGGTTGTAGCCAGGTGAGGTTGACCTCTCCTCCCACAGGCAACCAGTGATAGGACAAGAGGACACAGTCTCCAGCTGTGCAAGGGGAGGTTTAGGCTGGACATCATGAAGAATTTCTTCACAGAAAGGATTATTAGACACTGAAATGGGTCTCTCCAGGGAGGTGGTGGAGTCACCGTCTCCCCGCAAGTCTTCAAGACAAGACTGGATGTTGCACTTACTGCCGTGGTCTAATTGACGTGGTGGTGTTTGGCCATAGGTTGGAATCGCTCGATTCTGTGATTCTGACCGCCGAGAACACCGCGCTCCGGCTTCCCGGGGCCGGCGCGGAGCTCACTGTAAGACGTAGGGTGGAGGCGCCGACAGGGCGGCAGGCGCTGCCCCTCCCCGGGGCTTCTACGCTCTCCGTTGTGCCCCACACGAGACTGCTCGGGAAACCAGCGCCGCCTCCCCTGAGGCCGCACTCCCGGGCTCCGCCTCCCTCGGGCCAGCGCAGTCCCACCCTGCGGCGGCCCGCGGGAGGAGGCAGCCCCCCTGCTTCCCTCCTTGCCTCCCCGCTGGCGGCGCGAATTCGGGCGCTGTGGCGCTAATGAGCGGCCATGGCGACGGGCCGCGTCAGGTAACGAGGGGCGTGTCGGCCCAGGGCTCTGCCGGCCCAGGGCTCTGCCGGCTCAGGGCTGCCTACTTGGCCACCGTCACCTTACCCGGCCAGAGTGGTTTGTTGTTTTTATCTCGGCACTCATTGCTCCTCTGTGAAACCCCTTCCACCTGTCCCACGGCTCTGGTTTACAGCTCTGAAATTGTCACGGCCGGGGCTGTGGTCGTGTACGCCCTCATGGCCATGGTGCTCTCCCCTCCTTGCCCCTTGAAGTGGGAAAACGCAGGTGTTGCCAGGTGTGCGGAGTCCTGGGTTTAATGCACCTTTTTTTCTGCCTGGGAAGGGAGGCTTAAGATTGGGTATGTCCTTGAGCTTGGAGAAGGTACTATAGTAAGCAGTAGCCTAGCTACAAACTACTAGTTATCCTAGTGGCTAAGGTATAATATAGTCGGGGTAGTTAGGCCTTTCTAATAAATGTGCAGTTTTCACTGCAGAAGGTGTGATTAACCTAAATCTTATAGTACATATTCAACCTCCAAGAATTTAAATTTTAGAAACAATGTTGAGAAAACAGATTTTTCTGCTCCCCCATTTGTAACAGCCTTGGATTTTATAGCAGTTTTATTTCCCCTGTTGTTTCTTTTCTTTTTTTTTTTTCCTCTTTAACCTGTAAATGGAGTGGGATAACATCCACCTTGTAAAAAGACTTTATAATTGTTAGATGAAGTAAAAAAATGTCAAAACGTTTTGCCAGCAGGACGAGGGAAGTGATCCTTCCCCTGTACTCAGTGCTGGTGAGGCCACACCTTGAGTATTGTGTTCAGCTCTGGGCCCCTCAGTTCAGGAAGGATATTGAGGTGCTGGAGCAGGTCCAGAGAAGAGCAACCAGGCTGGTGAAGGGACTTGAGCACAAGTCCTATGAGGAGAGGCTGAGGGAGCTGAGGTTGTTTAGTCTGGAGAAGAGGAGACTCAGGGGAGACCTCATCACTCTCTACAACTACCTTAAAGGAGGTTATAGCCAGGTGGGGGTCGGTCTCTTCTCCCAGGCAATCAGCAGTAGGACAAGAGGGCACGGGCTTAAGCTCTGTCAGGGGAGGTTTAGGTTGGATATTAGAAAGAAGTTCTTTACAGAGAGAGTGGTCAGGCATTGGAATGGCCTGCCCAGAGAGGTGGTGGATTCACCGTCACTGGAGATTTTTAAGATGAGACTGGATGTGGCACTGAGTGACATGATCTAGAAATCACAGTGGGGTTGGATCAAGGGTTGGACTTGATGATCTCGGAGGTCTCTTCCAACTCAGGTAATTCTATGATTGCTGTAATTTCTATTTATCCCCAGCTATGCTTTAAAATTTCAGAGAAGGAGACAGGGGTTTTTCATTACTTAACATTTAATATACATTACTTGAAAGAGACTTGTTTGCTGACCATCAAAAAAATAAGTCACACTGCAAGTACTGTAGGGTATGAAAGTGAAAATACTGGTACAAAACTGAGTCCCACAAGTTGAAAGCTAATGAAAAAGCAGTTGAAATTATTGTGCCTCTAAGTAAGGGCATCTCAGCTGTTCTGGAAGTCTCTAAAGAGGGACTGTAACAGCCATCATTGACTTGTGCTTATCTGCCCAAGCTTTGTCAATGCAGTGTAAAAGTGTTTTGTCAATATTAATTTAAAATCTTAGCACGCGCAGTACTTGAAAAATAGTTTATGGATTGGATTTGCTGTTGTTCACACCTTAAGAGTATTTTTGTTTTGGAAGACTCAACAAAGTTCATGTTTTTATTTTTTTTTTAACTGAAGCTTTCAAAGGGAGTATATATTACATTAAAGTTTTCAAGGCATGTGTAGGCAACATTTCTCAGATAAGAGGGGGTGAAGAAGAGGGGGATGCAAGGAGTGGTTAAAATGAGCAGGAAGGACTGATTACAGGCAGTTCAGGTTATGGCTGTACAAGGTAAAGTGTGTTTTAAAATCCAGGACCTAGCTTCTTATCTGAATTACTCCTGTACCTGGAGTTTATGAACTTAGGTCTCTGTAGAGTATACCCAAACTAATTATGTTTGTGCTTTCAGCTTGGATTCAGGGCAGAATAGCCTGGGCCATGTTGTCCTGGAACATACAGAAGTGATAGCTCTGCTGCTGTTGAACATGACTTGTGTCCATAAATCCCTTTAATGGCTCTTGAAAAATGAAGTTTGTTAGTGGCTTATCATCCAAGTGTACTTCTTGATCCTGATACATGAGTAAAACCTTTGCTTGGCCTCCAGGTCATATTTGTTACCTGGTTATTTCTTTATAGTTGTTAGTTAGGTGGTCTGTTAGTGATTGGCACCCAAGCTAAAATGTGCATGTCTTTTTGTGTTATAACAATTCTCAGTAAAATGTCTTGGATTTTTTTTTCCGCATATCCCAGTTGACAATGTAGAGTGAGATTGTTCTTTGCTTTCTATTTTTATTTTTCTTTGAGCATAAACCAATGCTAAATCAGGAACAGCATGTGTTAAATGTATGTGGTACCCTTATACTTCAACATTTTTTTCCCCAATGTCAATTGGTTGCCTAGAAACTCAGAGCTGGTTTGACAACATGTTAGAAAGTCATCTGGGAATTTAAAACATCACTAATGCAGTGAATGGGAAGCTCTGCCTGCTTGGTGGCATTAGTGGGTATAAAGTGCAAGGACTTGATTAAGATAGAGTTTGAATCTCAGCTTATTAGTTACAGCTTACAAAGTCCTTGCTATTAGAAAACTTGGAAAAATATGTGGCCAGTTGGATTTTAAGAATTTATTTGCATATTTGCATATGCATATTTGCTTTATTTGATACAAGAAACTAATTTCTATCCAAATTGTGGTGTGCTAATGACCTATGAAAACATTGATACCCATCTTGCCTGTTGAACTAGCACTTATCTCTCAGATTTGTGAATATTTTAGCACAAGAAAGTCTGAAATGAGACTATAATTTTTTTTTCAAATCTTATTCTGTTGTATGTTCAGGGAAATTATTTTTGAACCTCAAAAGTTTTCGAGAAAGGTTCAAGGAATTGTTTTATTTGGTATCTTTTAATAGCTTAGCAAAGTTGGATGGCTCAAAAATGTCTCTGGAGTAATGTTGCAAACCAGAAGATTAATCAGTGAGTTCATCTCACTGCAGAGACCTCTGTGGGGCTTGGTTGTGGTGACCACAGTGAGGCAGCTGTATAACCTTAATAAATCTCTACTGAATTCAAACTGGTTTGGTGGAGTGACACTACTCCCTTCTGTCTATTGTGAGAGATTAATCAGAGGAGAGACAGCTATGAGTTTAAATCTGACATCTTCCTGGTGTCAGATATTTTAACTTGGTGATAATTTTCCAAATCTGTGAGCAGATAATAATGAGTTGCCATGTGATGTATTCCCTGAATTCTGCCTCGACTAAAGTGTTGTGTCTAGGTGTGTGCAATACACATATTTCTTCATTTTTTGAAGATATGACTCCTAATGGCTTTTCTTTCTTAGAAATAGGTTAAGGACCTTTGCTGCCAGGCCTGGGGAGTGCTCTGAAACTGTAAATGCTGGAATTAAAAATCTATATTTGACTCCTGCTGTAAAACGGAAACCAAGGGTGTGCATTGAGAGGTGAGTATGTCCTTGGTTTAGGAAGACCCCTTGCAGACTCTAAGCCATCTTTTGACTGCTTACAGTCGTTATGTTCATGTATTAGAAATTTCTATGTCAAATGTTCTGGGTTGAAAAGATTTGCTCTCCTGGCCTACTTTGTGATCCCGTATTCACCTTCTAATGTTTACTGTTTTGGTTGTCCTTTGCCTCCTTTTCTAAGTTCATATGAAGTATGTAACTTTTCCAAGCCACGTGAAGCCTTCAGCAACTCCTTTGCATGTCGTGGGCAGTGTTGTTCCTTGGGAATAAAAATAGTTATTTTATTACTCCAATAAAAGCCATTTCAGAATCAAACTTTGTATTTTTCTCTTGATGCTTGGTTTTTATTTTGTATAGAGAGGCTGAGGATGGTGGAGTGGGATGAGGGGGGAGGAATAAATGACTGTTGCATATTTGCTGAAAGGTAAATATTTCCCTTCCTGTTTGATAATTAAAAGGCACTTTCAATATAATCCTGAGTTTTCTTTTTGAAAATTAGTTACATTTTTACAGAGAACCCCATCTAAGAATATATTACCTGAAAGATTAATAATTTTCCTTGGTTTATTCATTTGGTAGCTTCCTGTGTAATAATTTCTGTTTTGCATTGGAATGCCAGGTCAATACCTTTATGCTGCTAGTCTAGTGTGAAAGATGAGAGAAAAAAGGAAAAAAAATCCTTTCAGCTTCCTTCAAAGGAAAAGTAATGTGGTTGTGAAAACTGCTGTTGAGAATTCTGGATCAAGTGTATTATTTTATTTAATTTGCATAATTTTAAGGGATCATTTCTAAATTCTCTCTGGAATAAATGCACTACTATGGGCTTTCAGTTTATGGGTTATTTTGCATAATAACCATGCAAGTTTTGGCATGTTGCAAGTTTTGGCACATTGCCTCAATATTATTACAGCGAAGATTCTGAGTTTTAATACAAACATTGGAGTACTGGCATTATAATGCTCCCCTTGACAGCCCTGTGCTTTTGGAGTAACGTATTATAAATCAACAACTGTTGTAAATGACACAGTAGTAAAAGAATGAGATACAGCTAGGGCACTGACTTTCACAGCACCTTGTATTTTCAGTGGTGATTTTGATGTGACCATTCTCTATGCTCCAAAAAATTAGAGTATAAAATGCAGCTATTTTAAACTCTGTGCAGTTATGGGGCGCCACTTGAAGGGTATGAGGTTTCTGTCTGTTAATAATAAAATCATGGTGGCTTATCTCCAGGGTATCTTGGGCTTATCATGCTTAGACTGGCACCTGCATTTCAGGCAGCCTTCCAGATGCACAGAAACTTTAATGATCTCAAGATGCCACTTGGCTCTTATGTTGAAGTTCATGTTTTTCTGTTAAAAACTGTATGAGAGCCCTGAGCACATGTAGTTTGAAGATTATGATGAAGTAGAGCCTGATCTTACTGTTTGACTAGGATATTTCTGTCCCGGTGCATCCTGAGACCTGATGCCACAGCCAGGAGGAAAGATATCTGCAGTTTTGGCAAATGTTAAAGTCATGGTACAAGCAGTAAGAAACTGAGATTGAATGAGGTAGTGTCATGTCATACTCTGTTGAAGTTAACAAAGTTAGTGAAAATGCAAAACCATAATTTTCTTGTAGTTGTTCTGTGCCACTTAAAAAAGTTGTGATGAATTGTTTTATGCAAATGCCATATATCAGAGAGTATAATCAGAACCCAAATTCTGGGTTAACTCTTCAGGTGATTTTTTTGATTTGTGTGTTTACAAGTTGATAGTTTCCACTTCTTTTGTTTTGCTCTGGTTTGAATTTCAAATTCTTTACCTGTGCAATTTCTGGAGTTTGCAGGCAAGTCTAACAATGTTCCTCTTTCTCCTGTTTTCCAGCATGCCATCAGAAATGCTGCTGAAGATATTTTCGTATTTGGATGCTGTGTCCCTGTTGTCTATCGGTTGCGTGAATAAACTCTTCTATGATCTGGCTAATGACAAGTAAGGAAGAGGGAACGTAGAAGTGCTGGTCTCAGTTGGGCAGCTATTGAGTTTACCAGAGTTATGAGTCTTTTAAATTTAGTTTCTCTGATGCCAGAGCAGTGATGCATGAACCTATGAGCAATTACTCTGCTGCCAGTATACTTCATAGCCACGTATTGTATGGAATTCTAGCTGTGCAAGCCCTGTTGTTTAATGGGAGTTATGAGCTGAAAACTAAATACAGTGCTTTGAAATGTTGCTATTTACATTTGTTTTGTTGTAAAATTTGCATGTGTTTGTTTGTATTCTCAAGCACCTGCACAAGCCTTTTGGACCAGGCAATCCTTAGTGATGTGTAGCCAGTGGCTTTCATAATTTTGAAGTTCTGCTTATCAGGTCTTTCATCAGGTTTTTGCAAAGGGATTGATTTAATCAGATGATCCACGAGTAGATTTTATCTGTTGCTCTTTCTGTCAAATTTTGGTGGCTTCTACTTGAAAACAAAAGAGATGAAGACAAATAGTGACACATTTTTTTGTAAGTAATTGCTTGTACAGAGTTCACAAGTGACTCCTACCAGTATCATGATAATTTTGTGAAAGTATAGAGAGGAGAGACCCGACTTGGTACATGATAATTGGGATGTCTGGGTATCCCTTTTTTTCTAGGAATCTGCCGCATTAGTGTTGTTTGCGTGAGAAAATGTCTTCCTGTATAGGAAGTTGCTGCACCTGGTATGAATCCATTTCTCCCTTATTTGCCAAAACTTGTGCAGTGAATTGGTTTACATTGGCATTGACACCTTCAGAACTGATTAATCTAAAGGGAAGACTGTAATCCAGATTTATGTTTTGAAGCTGTCAGCAGGTAAGTGTAGATAAAAATTGCATAGGTGACAAATTATATATCTTAGTATGTGTTTTCCACTTCAGGGTAGTAAGATAGGATAAAATCATTGTGACTCTACAGGGAAGGATGATTCATCTGTCTCCATCTCAGCAATGTCTGATTCCATTTTCTAATCTTGACAGAGATTACTGTATCTGCACAAATGGGATTCGGGGAACAGATACTTCCCTTATCTAGGAGATTGACTGGTTCAGTGGGACCAGGTCATTTTCCTCCTGGATTTTTGTGGACCTTCTTGAGACCCCAAGTCTTGTTTTGAATTTTTAATTGAAGTCCCTGCATATTTCTCTGACAAACCTGATCTTGCACTTTAGGCAGAGTATCTATTTTAGGTTTTTTCTTCTTTCCTGGATGTACAGGGTGCTGTCCTTGGTGCAGCAGGAGCATTAGTTTTTCATTATGATGTGTCTGTGCTGCCTAATGCAGTGCTTTGTCTTTGGACTCTTCAAATTATGTCTGCGCTTGAACAGTTCCTTGGCACTGATGACCTCAGTATAACTGTTGAAGACAAGGAAATATTTCTGAGTGCCCTTTCTGCACCCTCCTTGCCCCATGTGGTGTTATTCCAGCCTTCTTGTTGTACCGTGTGGAAAGCTCACATAGGCGGTCTCTCTGAAAGCCTCAGGATTTTGATCACCCACAGGTTGTGCACGCAGAAGAGGAAGTGAGAAGCCAGAGCATGGAGTAAGAATCTTTTTGATCTTGTGGTCAAATGATGACTGATGATGAACTGTGTCTGATTTTGGTGCTTGAATTAGCAGTAAGAGCTTTGTTTGGCTGGTAGTAACATCCAATAAGAGGCGTTGAGATTAGCTTCATATTTGAGGCAAAAAGTGCATGTGAAAGAGGCAAACCTGTGCTTCCCTGTTGGATGCCTTTCTGATTTATCTGCCCTGACTTCTTCAGAAGTTGAGGATGAAGGGGCAGCGATACCTTCCTAAACACTTGTGATTCCAAGTTCTTCTTTTTCTCCTCTACCTCTCTGCCCTAACTGAATTTTTGAGTTTCTTGAACTGATTTCTCATCTGCTTGCACAACGCTTTTTTGGAAAAGGAAGAAGCAACATGTAACTGAGAGTGAGGACAAGTCTGCTAGGTGTTGGTGGCGGGTATGTCTTTTGTTACCTATATTGCCTTCAAAATACTGGAAATACCTACTACTAAGCCCTGTCTTTTCAACATCATGCAGTCAGATATAGAGTATCTCTCCCCATAAAAGAAAGGATGTCTCTCTTGGGAAGGGGTTTCTAGTTAACAGGAGAGTGTTTTAAGAGGACTATTTGGAGTGATTGAGACCAATCAGATGATACACAGCTCAGTTTCCCGATGATGATATGTCAGGGACTTCTCTCCGCTGTTTTCATTACCCCACGATTCTAAACTGCTTTGGAATTAAATAAAAATGTTCTCCCTCTGTTGGAAATATTTTATGCTATATAATAACCTGGTTGCTTTTTCTGGTCTTAAAAAAGAAGTATCTTAAATCTTTATTTTACTTGTGAAAATGTCCTTCATGTTCCCCTGCCCCAACTTCGTAGAAATGAAAGTCAGATGGTCATGTTGACTGTGAACCCACCTTTACCAGTCATGGAAGCTCATTGGTCTGTGTGTTTTGAACAGCTTTGTCTCAAAAAATGACAGTGAAACATTCTGTATATATCTGTACAGCAGCAAGCTGTTTTTAGAAAATTCCTTAGTATGTTTGCATCAATAACCAGAACCTGACTCTCAACATGTTGTAGGGGCTTATTTTTAGCAGCTGATCAATTGAGAATGGTTTTGATGGGTAGGAGGCAGTGTGGGATGGATTCAGTCCTTGAATGCTTTAATGCTTTAAGGAGATGGGAAAATGCATTACAAAGCACGTTAATGTAAGTTTGCCTGGGGATAAGTGAGGACTGGTAAAGGTAATCTTGCTGATAAATGATAGAAAATGTCTCTTGAGAATTTGTTTCTCTTGCTATTAATTTTCTTTAGTGCAGTTATGTAAACTCCGTGTCTAGCACTTGAAAATCAGAAAACTTGTTGGAAACCTTTAGTCACAGATTGTTGTTTGAATTCTTGTAACTTCTTGTACTCAATATTCCATAAATTGTCCTAGAGATACTGGGATATGAGGGGTGAAAATGTGACCTCAGAGTTTTTCTGACATGGAAGAGATGAAACCTTTATTCCTGTCACATGTTTCTTTGTCTTCAGAAGGTCATGTCTTCTCTCAGATTTTCCAAACAGAGTGCAAGAGGGATTGCTGTGACACTGGTACCACCAAATGTAGTTGATTCTACTTGCCCTCCTCCACCCCACTTTCAGTTGTGTGAGAAACTTGATGGGGTACAGGTTATCTTTGTTGAGTAAGAGGTATTAAACCACTTTTTCCACTAGCTGATTCTGTGTGAGGAGGATGCATCGTTTTTTTGTGGAGGAATTTTCAAAAGTAACTGCTTAACCTTTATGAGTTCTCCCCTCAGTTGCTGAGTCTGAGCTTCATCCTGGATCCTGTATTTTCAGGAAGACAAACAAGACTTACCTTTTCATAGTTTCTTTATGATAGCTTTATCTCAGATCTGTTTATTTTGCTGTTGCTTGTGTTATCATTTTTTTATTTTTATTTTTAAATCTGTTCAGTGAATATCTGTGAAGGAAGTAGCAGCATAAGGGGAAGGAAGGCTTTTTGAAAACCACATGCTCTGGTGTGCTATTGAGAGATGTAAACCAGTGGGAAGTTCTCAATATCCAATTAGTCTGCTTTCTAGAGCACTAGTCAGACATTTTCTGTGCATGTAGTTGAGATTTT